TCTACCACCTTCAGGAAGATGTTTGCATTCACACATTACCAGAAAGGTACTAGTGTCTGTCCTGTCAGACAGAAAAAAGAATGCTGATTTGGACTTCAGCAGAAAGGGGACATCCACTGTTCCTTACAAATATTACTTTTACCACCCACTGTTCCTTACAAATATTACTTTTACCACCCCCTCAAAAAATGCTCTTGTTTTTTTCTAAATGAGAAGGGTCTTTCCCTCCAGTCTGTGATGTGATTTCTTATTGATTAAAAGAAAGTAGTGCTGGTGTCATAGCAAATGTGACCAAGTGTAACCAGAACTCTGTGACTAATACCTTGACCCATCAAAAAGACAGAGAGATTATGGGATGAGAAGCTGGATAAGTGTGTTGTCTGGATCAGCTTCAAAACTTCAAAGTGAGGCCAGAGCTTCAAAACCCCGTGGGGATATGAGAAGTGGCTGTCCATGGTGTGAACAGTGTCTCTAGGAGAGTGACTGTCCTTTTGAAAAGATCTCAGGTAGACATCTCAGGAAATATAGAGCTGGACCCAACCAATTAAATCTTCAGATCCTCAATTAATTCCTTTAATAGAAACATGGTAGTTAATAAACTTTTCCTTCCCCTTTTCCCTTTTTTCTCTCTTTTCTCTCCTTCCCAAAATAAACAGATGTGCTAATTTTCATGAGCACAAGGTGGCAGGATTCAGCTTCACTTTAAAACCAATGAAGGGTGAGCAGTGCTTCAAAGTGATAAGGTAAACACGTTTCCATCATTAGGAATGCAAAATCAGCCAGGATAAAGTAGCTAGATAAACCTGCAAATAGGTGGAACACTGGAAAGAATAAAATGTAGGCTAAAACTCTCAAAGAGTGCCTCGTGTTTGGAGGAAATTCAGAAAAGTGTATGGAAGTCAAATGTCATTTAGGGAAAAGACGTGGGATTTCACATAAGAGAAGCAGGTACACCTCAGTGTAGTTGTCAGACCAAAAGATGCTGTCGACTGGAGTTTACAGACTTGCTCTGAGTCATGGTACAGACATGTTTCTCTGACCACAGTTCTAGTGGTCACAAGAACACCTTCATGTGAAAACTTTCATGGGAATTGGGATATTTTGCTGGAAAACAAAATGTCTCTGATAAGATCATAAGGTCCCATGAACTGTCCAACTTCTCCCTCTTGTAACAGCTAAAAATTCCCGAACTGTAAGCAAAATTTAAGCAGTTTATTTCTGCACAGTTTTGGTAAGACTGTATTTCCGTTCACACTCCTTTGGATGGGACAGGGTACCATAGCACATACACAAATCATGTGGCCCTTACCTGTTCCCAGACTCTGTAGTATAATTTCTTATTCCTCCACCTAAATAACAGTACTCTCAAAGGAGTCAGCTCCTACCTGTTTTCCAGAAACACGTTTAAATCTTTACAGATATTTACTATAATTCTTATGCTGTGACACATTCTTTATGTATGGTGTATGAGTTAAAGTTTCAAAACTTTTGAAGTAATCAAACACTCAATTTTAGAACAGCAATTTCAAGCAAACACTGAGTTTCTCAGCATCTTCAGGTTTTCCTTGTAATATATTCAGATGAATGTTATCTTATGAATTTATCTATGTCAGTAAAATAAAAACAGGCAAAGGAATGTATATTGCAAAGGAACAGAATTTCTGGGAAGTCATTGATTTGCTTTCACCTACCTAAGGCAAATCTCTTTACCAGCTCGGAAGAGGTTTACCTCACCTGCTCTGAGAAGGCTCTATTACGCAAGATTTGAGTGTTCTCTGAAGTGATCTATTTGCTGTGCTTAACTGTCCTTTTCAAAAGCTTTCATAATGTCAAACATGAATCTGCCTTGTTGTAAATCAAGTGTATTAATCCTTGTCCTATCCTACAGACAAGGAAAAAAATATTACCTGTCACAGTTACATATTTCAGGGGTGTTATTGAACTTCCTGTCAGAGTTTCATGAACTGAAGAAATTGAGTTCTTTCAATCTTGTCTCAAGTTCATTTTTCTAGCCCTCTGATCACACTCTATAGCTTTGCAATATTTTCAACTCTTTGCTATAGTTTTGCCACCTTCAGGATGATGTTTGCTCTAGTAGCATTACCAGAAAGCTACTTGTCTCTAGTGGTTTAGTTGTGGCTCTTCCTTAAATATTGATTCACGTTGTGGCTCTTCCTTAACTACTGGTTAATAGGAAATATTTGAGTATTTTAAGTTCTTTTTCTACTCTCTTGAATCTGTGAGAAAAAAAATGCACAGAAAACATAGAAATAAAACTTTCAGTGTGTTTCTTCCCACATTCTTCACCAAGTTAATTTTTATAAAATACTAATTTTAGGAGGAAAATTAAACAGTATTTGGCAATTTTATCATCATCATATTTTCACACCTGGTATTTTTTGACATTGTCACGCAGAAATCTACATATCACAAACCTTCTAAGACAAGATTACTGTACAGTTTAGTAAGACTCTAATGAGAAATCATTTGAATTGCAGCAAATATAGACAGATGTTTACCACAACAGGTGATAATACCCTTTTCCAAGTGTTGCCTCTAGCTTTATTTAACACTGATTTGCAGCCTTACGAATGTATGATCTGGCCTACAGAGCTTTACATTTTCAACACTACTGAATTTTCTAATTAGCCAGTTTGATCCAACTGCATGGTTTCATCTAATGCCATTTTGACAACTCCCCAATTTCACAGATTGACAGAAAACAGAGAAGTCAGTGAAAGAATAATATTCAGTAGGTATCTATATATGATTAGACAAATGTGAGCTTGTTGTCATAAAAACACCAGGACAGTTAAAGTGGGTATTTTTTGCCCTAAAGAAGTGATGTCGTTGTGTTCCTCCAGGAGAGAGAGGGGGAATAAAGCATGTTTTCCAAAGCTGTAAGGAGACCTGGCTAGAGAACAGTAATGCAGGGGTTGCAGCAACTTAGAGGTTTCAAAATTTTACTTCTATCCTGCATCAAGGCTCTTTTTCAAAGCCTTTTCTAATTTGAATCATATTGCAGTTTATGCTGTTAATTTTTCTGTCTCTCTTTCATCCAAATCCTTTAAAAATCACTAACTTTTGCCTCTAGAAAATTGCTGCATGGCATTTTAATCTTACTTGCTATCCTTCCATAAATATTTCGTTTAAAGAGATACTTTAAATTTACTAGTGCCTTTCAAAAAAATTGTATTAGGCGTAGACAAAAGGTCCTTCCATGTTTTTACACAGTATTATTGGCTTTGTTATTCATTTGATTCTCTTTATCTTCCTTGAGTTTTATTTGGAATGAACAAAGTGCGGAACTTCAGAGAGGCAGTATATTCTGAGTATCTATACAACAATTTTACTTAAACTTCAATAACTTTGGTTAAAAAATATCAAGACTGACAATACTTCTGATTATGTCTTTTTGTACAGTCTGCATTTGTTGCTTTATGGGGAAGTATATTATTTCTGTATAGAGTGTTTCAGCTAGGTCTGGCTATAACTTTCTTAGTAGGATGTTCTTTTAAAGCAAAATCAATCCATGCCAGGCCTACAAAGCCACTCAGTAAGCTGTGGATTTTCCTGTTAGCCTGAGCAGATGCAAATAGAATAGAGAGTGTTTTCAATTAGTAAATGTCATGTCAAATTGATTCCCAAGCACCTTCTAACACTGTATTAACTGTTCATTCTTTTCCATTGTAATAGGAATTCTGTAACCTCTTTTTCTTTCATTTGCCCTGATTTAGTAATTTCAGAATACTTGGCTTGGGTAATTAGGTAAGAAAGAACCATCAACATCTTTATACTTAAAAGTGAAGTGGTAAGTGGATAACCTGTCATCACAGCTAAAGGACTACCTGTCAGGTGCAGGACACAAGCACAGAATCTCAGAAACTGCAAGGGAAGAGCATCCCAGATCAGCTGCTCATTGCACCTGCGAGTACATGACACACGTGTGTCACTGAGTCTTGCCTCAGCCTCGATGTACGGAAAGGAAAACTTCTTGTGGCGTGTGTCATGTGCCATTCCCCCGGCGCCTGGGGGTCGGTGTGGCGGCCGGGGCCGTGCGGCGGTGTACGGCTGCGGCGGGACGCGCGGTGGCGCCTGCGGAGCGCTCAGCGCGGGGCACTGCGGCGGGATCCGGCGCACCGGCAGCTCTGCGGAAACCCGCAACCGGGGGTGGGGGCAGCAAAACGAAAAGCAGCCCCGACTGCGGAGCTGTCAAGGGGAAAACAAGGCTTTTTAGGGTGGCACATCCGTCGCCTCCCGGGGCTCTCGCGCCATCCCCGTTTATCACCAGATGGCGAACTCCCTCCCTGGAGGGCATGCCAGGTGCCTCTCGGCACGGTGCCTCTGTCCGCCCGGCGGGGCACAGAGTCCGCACGGGCGGCGGCGCGCTGCCCGTCCCGCGGGGTGCGCGTACGACTGTATGAGTGTGTGTGTGTGTGTTCATGTACGTGCGAGGCTGAAAGCTCAAGTGCAGGCTGCCTATTGGTATCTGCTCTTCGGCACCCTCCCTTTCCCCCGCTCCCCCCTCCTCCCTCCCTTGTCTTTTTTTTTCATTTTTATTTCAGGCTCATTTTGTGGAGTTTCTGCCCCTCTCTGCGTCAGCCCCACGTCACTTTGCCGGCAGCTCCCCGTCTTGGGCTGGAGCAGGAGCCGGAGCTGCTTTATTATCAGCTGGAGGGAGGAGGAGACGGTGCGTAAAGGGGCGAGTGCGGAGCTCTGAGCCCCGCCGCCGCCGCTCGCTGCGCCTCCCTCGCCGCCCGCTCGCCGTCCCTCCGGCGGGCAGCGGCCGCCCAAGCCCCCGCAGATAGGAGCGCAGCCTCCGCCACCTGCCCCCGCCGCCCCGCGCGTTTTGCAGCATCATCGGCAGCAGCCGCGGGGGCAGGCGGTGCCGGTGTCCTCCCGCGGGGGCAGGGGCAGGTGCCGCGCCGCGCCGGAGGCCCCTCTCGCCGCTGTCCGCCGCGGCGCCCAGCTCCGGCCCCCGCCACCCCGCGCAGCGCCCGGGGCGGTCAGCGCCGCGGGGCGCCCGTGGCTGCGGCTGCGGCGCGCCCATGTGAGCCCCGGCCGCGGGGTGCCCGCTCGCGGCGCGGAAGGCTGCGGACCCTCCGGCCGTGCGCCCCGGCAGCGGCGGCGGCGGGAGCAGGAGGAGGCCGTCGGGGCAGTGCTGTAGTGAGCATGGTGTCCTGGCGGCGGAGGCCGGGGCCCGGCCTGGCGCGGCTGTGGGGCTTGTGCTGCCTGGTGCTGGGCTGCTGGCCGGGTGCGCTGGGCTGCCCCGCGTCCTGCGGGTGCAGCTCCTGGCGGATCTGGTGCACGGGATCGTCGCCGGGCATCGCCTCCTTCCCCGTGCCGCAGAGGAGCTCCGAGGGCGACAATGTTACAGAGATGTGAGTACGGCCCGGGGCCGGGCGCGGGGGCGACGGGCCGGAGCAGGCGGGGGAAGCTGCGGGCGGAGGCGGCGGGGAACTGACCCACGCCTAGAGGCTCTTGCTCCGCGGGCAAATGCAGTGGCTGGAAGCCTAAAAGCCCCGTGTGATTTTATTTGGACGCGGTTTACCAGAGATGCCGCTGCCAGCCCGTTTAGATGATGAATCCTAATTGTTCGCGACGCAGATCGCGGGGACCGGGGCGGGGGCCGACGCCGGCCGCAGCCGGAGCACGGGGCAGCCGGGAGCGGGACGGGGCTGCCCGTTTGCCTCCGACCCTTGCCCCAGCTGCTGCCGGGGGTTGCGCACCGCTTAGCCCGCAACTCTGCGGCAGCAGCAGGTATATCAAACGGAGGGTTTTTCTACCTTTTTTTTTTTTTTTTTTTT